AAATGAAAAGATCGCACTATTAATATGAAAACTGGACCACAAATCGCTTGTAAAAAAAGGGGGATACTATTCCAGGGGGCACTATATGCAGCGCTATACGGTACTTATGCTTTTATCCTACACCCTCACCTATTTCTGGCCTTAAGTTCCTCAGCTCCGCTCCGGAAATTAGTATCTTCAATATTCATTTTAATAAATTTTGAATGACTTGAAAAAATTGTAAGTATTAGCAAGAATAACAATTTATTTATATTCAATTTATTAATGCATTAAACGTTTTTATTTCATACTCACCGGCTATAATAACATTTTACCTTTCTAATTACTTTTCTATTACTACTACATTCCAAAGGTCGTTTTTAACTTTACATATCCCTTCTACTTTAAATTAATAATTGGTAACACATGCTGAATTTATTCATCTAATTTTATTCATTTAATTTTATTGTGTAAAATTCTATATCAAATGTCAAGTAAACCAGGTACTGTGTTTAAAAGTTTAATTTATAATATGTCATATGCTGCTAAATAACTGATTTAAACATTTGAGATCGTAAAAACTTTTAAATATTTGAGATAGTAGAAACTTTATTTAACTTAGTTTACACCCTCCTGGAACCCACACGGAACCCATTTTTTCCTCTCTATTTTCTTGCCTTAAGATCCTCCGCTCGGAAATAAGCATTTTTTTATTCTTAAAGGTTACTGTATTGACCATTTTGTTATCGTTATTGGGAACGAAGTATAACAAGACGCACAATTATGCAAAAATTAAAATGATGTATTCCGTATCTTACTAGACAGCGTTTCATATGATCTAGCACTGCATTGTTACATATAATATTGACAGTATCATACTTTATATTTTTAAATAAAGTAATTAGTATTCAATTTACTTTATTTGAAATCATATTTCTGTTCCTTGTTTTGCACGAAAATGTCGCGCAGCTACCTTATTAATAGTAAACTACAGAAATGGTATGTATATACGTTACATAATTGTAGATTCATGAAAAGAACTGAGAAACTGTTAAATTTCATCACGAAGAAGGATTTATTTGGCACCTTTGGCACCTGCATATTTTTTTACCCACGCCCTACCTTATTATAAGGAATTACTGTACTGTACCAGCTTTAACAATCGCAATATCAATGGCAATCAGTTTATAAAAAAAAGAATTGATAAACATGGGGGGCACAATTTTTTTTTTTTTTTAATTTTGCGGTGAGGCCACACAATTTTTGCAAACGCAATAAATAAATATCCAATTATTTTATTGATTATTTGACAAAAAGTATGAACCAAGAATATCCGATCGTAACTGAAAAAAATCAAGAAGAATTAAATGAAGATGCAAAAATTAGAGAACTTTGGATGAAAAATATTTGTGATCATGATAAACACGCAAAATTTAAAACTAAAGAAATTTATGATTTTATTATCGTGGGAGCTGGTACTGCTGGATGTGTACTTGCCAGAGAATTGATTCATGGTATTCCAAATATTAACATTTTAGTATTGGAAGCCGGAGGTCCTGATGTTCAATCCAATGGTTTAATTAATTTACCATGTACTTGGTTTAAGGTGACAATCGTCTTTAACCAAAAATCTTTTATTGAATCACTTTGTTGTTATTTAAATTTCTCTTGTTATTTTTGTAATATAGGCTTTCCAATTTGATGACCATGATTGGGGATATGTTGCTCAGGGACAGAAATTGCGAAGCTTTGTAAATCCTGCTAAAGAAATAACAAGAAAAAAGATGCCTTATCCTCGCGGAAAGGTTTGGGGAGGATGTAGCTCTTTAAATGCAATGGTTTACATGTAAGTTTCGCAAATTTATTTATTTATTCTAAGTTATGTGAATATTAGTTCTTTTAATATATCTGACTTTATTTTAGGCGAGGTCAAGCGAAAGGGTACAATGATTGGGCAGCTCAAGGTCCTGAATACAAAATCTGGGATTGGGATCATTGTTTGGAAGGTATGATTTTGCTATTTCAGTTTATTCAGAAACATATAGTATATATATATATATATATATTTTTTTTTTTTTTTTTTTTTTTTTTTGAAAAAAAAGCATTCAAAGCAATGGAGAACAATTCACGAGAGAAACGGGATGAGACATTTAAACAATTACATGGATTTAATGGTTTACTTCGCGTGCAAGATTGTCATAATGGGATTTACGATATTATGTCAGGTTTTATTGATGCTGCAAAAAGTCTTGGAATTCCTTATAATGAAGATTTCAACGGTGTGAGACAAAATGGTGTTGGAACAAGCCAGGTTTTTGAAATAATATAAATTCACAAAGTTTTTCTAAATTACATAATAAAATTATAATCTGTTAATTTTATTGCATTTTTATAGTTTACAAATCAAGAGGGAAGAAGATGTTCTTTAGCTGAAAGTTATTTAAAAGATGCGTTAAAAAAAGTCGAATTACATTCAGGTTCAGGACCATATGGAATTGGGAAAGTTGTTGCCGTAGATATTAAATCATATGCTCATGTATTAAATATTATTTGGGACGAAGAGAATAAAAATGAAAATGTTGCAATCGGTGTAAAATACTTTTGCAATGGTACAGTGCGTGAGGCTTTTATTGCTCCGAAAGGTGAAGTCATTCTTTGTGGTGGTGCTATTAATAGCCCTCAAGTAAGAACAAGAAAATTTAATAATAATAATAATAATGTTGCAGTAATTCAGTAATTATATATTATGGTATTATGGTAACATCTACTTTACTTACTTTTTTGTAAAGTTATTGATGCTTTCTGGTATTGGTCCGAAAGAAAATCTTGAAGCAAATAATATAAAAGTACGTAAAGAACTGCCAGTTGGAAGAAATTTGTGGGATCATCCATGCTGTATGTCTATTGCAAAAGGAGATCCAGATGTAATGCACCATTGGAGTAGTGGAGGTGAAGTTGGGATAATTCATAAAGCCAACGTTGAAGGAAAGATTCCTTGCAAAGATGACTTTTTTGACGAGAATCCAGATACGCAACATATTGGTATGTTTTCGTTAAAACATGATTTTATATAACTATATTTTTGTTTACTATTTGTACTGTATTTATTTAAAACAGTGTTTCCATACATATCTGGTCTCATAAAGAAATTGCCAAATCATAAAATCAGTGGGCTTGTTATATTCACAATTCTTAATATCCCATCAAGTGTTGGTTATCTAGAACTTAATAGCAAAAATCCATTCGATCAACCAAGAATACATTTAAATTATTTTGAAAAATCTGATGATTTATATAGAATGATCAGTTCACTTAAATTATGCCGTGAAATATTTAAGCAGCCACCATTGAGTACTGTTTATAATGTTAAGGAAATTGGGATAAAAGATGAATTCGGTCATTTGAGTACCAACGGGGATGATATTAGTGATGAAGATTGGGAAAAATATGTTGTTGAAAGGGTTCGTTACTTTATATTATGTTAAATAGAATGTCATTTATATAAAATATTTACCTTATTTTTATGTTTAGGCATCTACAACGTTTCATCCATGTGGAACAGTAAAAATGGCTCCAGAATCTAAAGATGGTGTAGTTAATCATCGACTTCAAGTTTATGATACGAAAAATCTTCGAGTTGTTGACGCTTCGATATTTCCATATATTCCAAGCGGAAACACTAATGCTCCCACAGCTATGGTTGCTTGGAAAGCGAGTCGGTTAATTATTGAAGATTACATGAAAAAAAATTTAAATAAATTATGAAATTTCAATCATGAAAATTTGTCGGATTAATGTTCAATTTATTCATCACTGATCAGTGTTAGGTATAGTGAAAACTAATCTGAAGTAAATTCTAAATAAACGCGTGAAAGTTTGCATGTGGATCAAAAGCAAATTTAGCCAAGCTAACATACGTACGTACGTACGCACGTATCTATAGTAATGATGGGTGACTAGGGTGTTCATGCATATCTATTACAAACATAGTGCAGATGGAATGCACTTATTTGTGCGAGTGAAAAGTAAAATGTGATTATCCCGGATCAGCCCGACACGTGAGCGAAGCGAAGAAAAACACAAAAAAAAACGAAAAAAGCGAAAATACAAGCAACTGAGTGTTTAAACCTGTCTTTGGTCACTAATTAAAAGTGACGGAAATGAAATTTTACATATAAGAGGAAAACGTTTAGTTCTATAGCATCTAACTTTAGCGTTCTAACCCTAAATTTTTATTTTCACGAACTTAGTTTATTTTTACGTTGAATTT